AAGAGTTGAAAGGAGGAACAGAAGCTTAATGTACTGTCGCCGCCACTTTATTTAGTATTTATAGGTTATGCTCATTACATGGAAAGGACAGATCTGCCCTTAGTATTTACATAACAAATATAACAAAATAAGACTGAAATAAATAACAACTGAAATAACTAACTGACCACCAGCTAACCCTAGAAAGGCTAGAACATCATCTACCCTACGAACACAGTGGGACCGTAGCTGTGGGGCCCACATCAGTGTTCTCTACACTTGTCATTCAATTCAGGTCACTTGTGACCAACAAAGGCTTCAAAACAACTACAGACCAACATAAAAGGATCAAACATACCCTTACACCATTCGGCCATTGTAAACACAGCCTGTTCTTGGACCTTTTTCCAAGAACCAAGGCTACAAACAACCTAGTTCTCTAGGTTCTGATCAGTCCCCGCAGATTTTGAAGGCTTTCAACCCAGAAATACCAATAGCACACAAAAAAAAGAGGTAACCAACCTTCGATGGAAAGCTTCAATCGACCATCCACTTCTGAAGTTGTTTTTTTTTTTCTTTCTTGAAAACCAGTCAAGTTCTGTGCAGAGGAAGAAGGACTGAGGTGTTCTCAGACCTAGGTCGAATCTGTGTTCTCCATTTTTTTTTCAGCCTAGAAAGAAGAAAAAAAAACGAGGTCACGAACAGAAAGGAGCAGGTCACGAATCTGTGAGGAGATTTAGAGAGCAATGTCCTGCTCTGATACCATGTTTGTTCTGTAGCTACAGTAGTTCGAACCAGGAGAAGAGAAGAAGAAGAAGATGATGATGAAGAGAACAGTCGAACTTGATAGACTAAACCCTATCAGTCGACCCTTAATATGGATTAGCCTCTAATTAGTAGTACAAAGACTAAATTGCTCCCACTTAAGTATGGGACAGGAAGTCTCTATTAAAACTGCCACATAAGCACATAACTTAACAAAAATAAAATGACTAATCTACCCTTATTCGGCTAGCTCTAACATTCTCCTTATCTTCCCCCCTTCCTCTACTCCTTCCTCCGAAGCAGAATTCTTAGGAGAAGGGATATGCTCCTCTCCCAGTTCAAAGGAACTTCCTTGTAACCCCGTCACTTCTCCTTGTCCATCCTTAAGATTTTCCTCCCTATCGTGCCCCTTTTCTTTATGTGGTTCACACTCCCTACAGATCGCCTGGGCAAGACATCCATCCTCTACTTTCTTGTCTCCTGTTCCTCCATCTTTTCTCCCCATGCTGTGTGCAATATCCGCTATCTCTGTCTTCTGGGATTGTAGCTTCTCCCCCGTTCTTGATGACCTTCTCTTGCCTTCCTCACCTCCCTGTCCTCTTTTATTCCTTCCATTATCGTATCTCGTCACTACCCAGATCCATTTCTCCTCTTCTTCCCCTTCTGTGAGCAGTCGATCAGATCTCAATCGATCTATCTTCTTCTCAAACTGTCGAATGCATCTTTTACCAGAAATGCCCCTCTTTATTCCTTTCTTTTTTACTCTCACCTTTGCTTTAAGGTTGACCACGGACCTCCTTAGACCGTTAAACTTCTTAAACTTAAGCCCTCTGTTACTTGCTGGGGTAACAGATATATTGCCAAGTTTAATATATCACTTTTCTATATTTAGTTTTTGGTATATGTGTTTATAATTTTGTAGAAGTTTTAGAAAAAATAATAATCAGAACAGATATATTAAATGATATAGAAGACATCAGTATCTTAAATTTCAAACATCACGATTTTGTGGTGAACTATTCAGCACCTAGGCACCAACTAGTCACTGTATTGGCTAGAGTGGCCAAAATGACTAGTCATTACCTAACTGCTGACAATGCTGAGAAAACTTCACATTTATCCATGTTTCTGAATATAATCTCCACCATTAAAGAGTATGAATCTATTCTTTTAGCATTTACCATATCTCATAACTAGCATTAACCACCCAAAAGTCATATTGGATAGCTTTAATTCACACAGGTTGTGTCTGTGTACATGTTGTCATGCCTCTAAGAAATTCGTGCAAATCATATAAACTAATTGCACAGACTCACCCTTGTTCACATATATTTTGGGTTTATGTATATCTGGATGACCATACTAGTAATGTATCATCAATCGTTCTAGACTTGATTTTCTATAATGTTGCTTATGGCTTGTTCTAGATTTGGATTCATATAAAAACCTCATATGGATAAAGCAGTACCTGTATACAACTATTTTCTAAACGGAAATTGATGTACCTCATACAATATATGGGTTTAAAGGGTATAAGTATTACACTTCAAATGGTTTCTGATGCAGGTAATACATCCATTTGATGCTCAAGCAGATGGGGAGCTAAGTTTATCCATTGGTGACTATGTTGTGGTTCGACAGGTACCTCCTGTCTCTTATTATCAACCACAATTATAGTGCATGCATTTCCTTCTTTAACATAATTTTTGTACTTGTCCAAGTTTTAACAGGTCAGAGGACTATATAAGACTCAAACTAGCTTGCTTTCCCATTTGAATTAATAATCACACCAGTACACCAAGCACCTGTAACTGTATTACTATTTTCTCACATTTAACATTCTTAGAAGTGTTCTATGGTATAATATAACAAAATGTGAAATAGACACAAGCTTGGGATTTCTTTGATCCCTTATGTGAAGCCAACTATGGATCTGAAAATGCCTAGCAAATTAGATGCAGCAGTCAGTTTTGGGTTGGAGCAAGGCCCAGTTTCATTCTTAGAACTACTAAATGAGTTTGTGGTGGTACTTAACAAACTCTTGGACCAACAACTAAATATACAACAAAATTAGAAAGTCAGCGCATTCTTTATGATTCTGTTTATTCCTCTTCTGTAATACTTCTGGATGTGAGGATACACAGGTTGCTCCTAATGGATGGTCTGAAGGCGAATGCAAAGGCAATGCTGGATGGTTTCCCTCAGCTTATATAGAAAGACGGGAAAAAGCTCCAGCAAGCAAGATCGCTGAAGCTAGTTAATCATTATGGTGCAGAGTTGTTTCATCTGTATGTTGTATAAATGCTTCTCAATTTTCATGTATTTTTGTGCTAATTGTATTAAATGCTATAAAATTGTCCTTATTCTGAAAGCGTGTAAATACATGGTGTTTTTTTGTCATAAACTGAGAGTTTCATACTGCTTTATGCGTAAATTGTAATAATGTGGTATACGCTTGTTTGATTATAACTAGAAAATAATTGATTATATGCTATGATGGAAAATGTCAAAATACTATAGCCTATAGATACCTATTACAGAATGTATTTCTGATTATTATTATTCAGATGTGGTAAACTGAAAAGTTAAGAGGTGAATAGTAGCTGTGAGCCTGTGACCATTAAATGTTTCCCTCTCTGATGCAGGAAATTACTTGGGTAGTGTAGTCCCACTCTCACTCTCCCACAATCTTCATTTGCTGCACTATGAGTGAATTAGTCATAAAAGATAAGAGACTATTTCTATTTGATTTTTTTTTTGTCGTCGTTAATATTGTCTGATCAGGTAGGAGAGATGAGGTAGAAGCGTTTTCTCTCTCTCTCTCTTTTTTTTTTGGGGGGGGGGGATGTAACAATAGTTCTTAACTAAGAAAAAATACAAAAGATTTTATGTTCTGAATTCATGATATAAAGGTTAGAAAGATTTTCCATTTATACTAATTCAACGATAAACCGTTTAAGCTTTCTTGGGGTAATAATATGAGCCATATAGGTGTTCAAATGATTTGTACACGATCAGTTCTATCATCTATGCAATATCATATCCCCCAGACTCCCACTATGATACTGATACTGGGAAGGCATGATCTTGAAAAACTGATAACCAATCAACCGGTATAACAAAAGTGGTAACCTGTTGCGATTGGCCAAAGTTCCAGCGTCATAGATATTGCATAAATTTTAAATTATATGTAGACATAAGATTTAAAAATATTTTTTGTATATGTAGAAACATCTAACATTATTAATTTTTGAATCTTGTGTCATTCACTAGCCTCGGCCTAAGTCTCAACCCAAGATCATAAGGCAGCTTCTCTGTGCCTTCCTTTGAGGGCTTCTCAGCTTCACTCTGATGGTTCTCATTAAGTATGATGGAATTGCATATAGAAAAAAACCAATGAATTAGACTTGAAAAAAACAATGAATTAAATGTGGGGAATAATTCAAAGGGTGAGATATCATGGGATAGAATTCAAGTCTTCAACTATGATGCTTGAAAGACATGATACCAGAAAAACTTATAACCAATCTATTCGCATCATAAAAGTGGTAACCAATGGAGGGTTTGATTGGTCAAAGTCTTTTTGGTATCATATTCTTATATATAATAAACACTAACATAAATATATAATGTACGCATATAATAAATTTATCATCGAAGTGTAGATCGAAGTGTAGATCAGACTACCTGAGGTCTCAACTCAAGCCCAAACAGAGTTTAAGGCAAAGTTCTAGTTTTTTATTCAAGTTCAGCTAAGAACCCAAAAATAAAGGTCCAAGCGCCCAACCAATGCAAGACTGGGCCCACCCAAATTGCCTTAGTGATCATAATCTATAATCTAACCAGATTAACACGATCATATCAAATATATGTATATATATAGTATCACACAATGAGGAATATTTTGGTTATTTTGTACAAGGTCTCAGAAAATAAATAGACGAAATAGTTAAAGAGTTGTACCCTTTTGTTTATTTATCTACAAAATCCAAAGTTCTTTCATCCCCACTTAAACGATGTCAGGGTCATAGGATCCTGTCGATACTAGCTGTAGCCTGTAGCCACTCTCAGGTGGACCTACCAAAATGGTTGGTCCTGGTTATTTGAACGTACTACATATACCAAATAATGGGAACCCATACACGGCTAGACTGCCATTGTAGGCCCTCTAGCCTCAGACCGAGCAACTTCACAGAAACACACTCAGAGGCCATCATGTAGTAAATATATATTCTATATTACATGCACGTACATTCTGTCTATTCTTAAAAGTTTTAGGATGTGTTTGGTTTGATAAAAAATAAGAGAGAAACAGAAAGTTGATGGAAGTTTTTCAGGAATTTGTTATAAAGTGGAAAGTTAGGGTAGAAATAAGGAACTAAGAATGTGCTTTGTTTTGACGGAAAATAAGAGAGAGAGAGAGAGAGAGAGAGAGAGAGAGAAATTTGAGGAAAAGTCCTTTTTGCCATAAAAAATCAGTTATGGTAGAAATAAGGAGCTGAGTCTGGATCTGGTCCCAAAAAGCCACTGCAGCCATATATCGAGAACATCTCACCATGAAGGACAAGGGAGATGTTCCTGATGTATGACTGCAATGGCTTGTTTGATTTGTTGGAACCAGATCCAAGAAAAACAGAAAGTATGGGGAAAGTTCTTCAAAATTTTGCCAAAAAAAAAAAAAAATCAGTCAGGGTGCAAATTCATAGACTTTTTCTCAACTTTCTGTTTCTCTCTTATAATCAAACCAAACATAGCTTTAGTTCCTTATTTCCACACTCTAATAATTTTTTTATGAAAAATTGTCCATCTGTATAAGATTCCCCACTAGGCAGCTAGTGTCCTCTTGTTCATTAAGAGAGATTGGGACTCCTTTCAGTCCCTTGTAGTTTTTCATGAGTAGATGCTACTCTCACTAGACACCCCCTATAGTTTGCATTTTGCAACCACTTTAATTAATCCACCTTCCATTAGGAACCATTTACATTTCTATGTGGGAAGGCATGGGCTTATGATTTTTTTATTTCAAAAATATCCACAATAATTCTCATATCAACCAACCTTTTAGGAAAACATACCCCCTCAACATTATCACTTGGTCTGGAGAAGGCATGGAGTGCTTGTGATATGAGAACTGTCAGGAATATTTCTCAAATAAAAAACTCTGAACCCATGACCCTTTCACATGAAACTATAGAATTGAGCTTTCCTCCTCACAAAGCACACTTCACACTGACCTCACAGCATATTCCACCATGTTCTCGGAACATCTCCCCATGAATAACAATACACGGGTATAAAAGATATTCCCAATGTGCAGCTGAGACGTGTTCTAAATCTAAGGAGTGTCCAAGTAAATGACCCATTTTTTAACTATCCATTAGGGTTTATGTTGGGCCTTTTCTGGGCTGACACGTGAAGTCAAAGATGTTAGCCCAAGACCCAAGTTTATATATGGAGGTTTTCTTCCTTGTTATATATTATTTCCTACCAACCAGTCCAAGCGGGAACCAAGCTGGCACCAACCAAGTTGTGAGTATCCCATGCAGCTAGTTGCCAATTCTCCTAGCAGTTGTTACTCAACGCTGGGTTCAAATTCCAGGTCCACCCCTAACAATTAACCAAATAACTTATTTTTCTACCAAAAAAAATAAAAACATAAAAAGAAAAAGAAATTAAATTCAAATGGGAACTTTTCTATTGAATTTTAGGAATTGGATTAAATCCAGATGTTGATTGTCGTTAATAAATTAAGCTAAAAAGGATCAAAATATTATATAATTAATAAAATAGACTAAAGATAAATTTGATATTGCATATTACAAAGAAAATGACTTACAAAACAGCTTTCGTCGTTTACTTGAAGGTAGGACTCTTGGGTCTACATTCAACATTCAATTCAATAGATGCATGTTAATTGACAATATTTATGAAGCCAAAAAGGTATGATATTAGAAGAATTTTGACCAATCACGATACTTCGTGAATTTTGATGAATACCCAACTGATTGAATACCATTTTTACATCAGATTTTCAGGTGTGTCATACTATTTTGAATTGGGTTAAATTCGTATTGCGTCCAATTATAAACAGATTGAATTGGAATTGCCGAGATCCAATTGGCTTAAATTTAAATTAAGACAAAGAGAAACCATTTGCAGCCCTAAGAATCAACATTGACCGACGCATTTATTGTTATCACCATGCATGGAGGAATGTTTGAGAAATGATCAGGTGAATTTTTTGAGTTCACATCTGTACCTCAGAGCACATTGTGGGGCGCCCCAGCTCTGAACTCGAATTTCTTTTATTCTCAGTATCAATCATTCAAACTGAGGTCTTCTATCATCTCCAACTGTTAAGCCAAATCAGTCAAACCACCGTGTGAAAATAGGAAGGAGAAAGCCTGCGGTCGACAAACTCATAAATGCTCTCACCAAATTTACCGTACTGGTTTGTTCTACGGCACTCCCATGGTCCAAAGAGGCTGCAACCTCAATCTTTCCTTGACATTCTCTTCTAAGAATCTGAACGAGATACAACCCTAACAAATGAAAAGCTAGCCCTACATAAGGTCCGATTATCGGGTCAAACAGTCTGACCGTTCAAACCAAATGATCAGCCTGTTTTAATAAAAAATTAAAAATGATCAAAATCCTTTGAACAATTAATCACCCAGATCAGTGATTTATTGATCAAAATCACCGATTTTAAAAGAACCGAAACTGATCACCTGACTGATTCCCGATTTTTCTGATTCAACCATCCGGTCAAATCCCATTTTGAAATCATATGTTGAGGTTGCGCCTGTGAAATCATATGCCGAATCAACTATTGGGACCCAGTTTTGATAAATACCACGTACATGGTCAATTGATGTTAACCATCAATTATCTGAAATTGGGACCCATTTCACTGTATATGACATGTAGAAGAAAACAAAAACTTTTACTTATTTATTTATGATCATTTGATTTTAACCTTCCAACTATCCCAAGTTAGGACCCATTTCACAGACAAATTATTAAATCCTACCTAGTAGGAGGAATTATGTCTGACCAAATAGTTAAACTTTAGGGTTTTAAGATTAATATTTATAAATTTAGGGGTTTAGAGGGTTAAGGTTAGGGTTTATAGGTTTAAGGTTTAGACTTTAGGGTTTAAAATTTAAGATTTTTAAATCATGATATAAGGAAAAAAAAAAAAAACTTTTATATATGATCATTTGTTCTTAACCCTCCAACTTATCTGAAATTGGGGCCCATTTTACTGCATATCACATGTATCTTACGTGAAAATGCTTTGTTAATGTTCTCTCACTTTGAATAGCAGTGATCATTATTCTTAAATTGCGGCAGGTAGTGATTGACATCGGTGTCAAGTGTGTCCGGACTAAGGGGTTCCACCAATAATTGTAATTAATTAATGGAAGTATTATTAATTAAATACTTCATTTATACTTTCTTGCAGTGACAAGTACGTCCACATCCATCATA